CAAGCTGAATCATATGGGCAGCTAGCTAAGGAAAATGGACAGCTAGCTAAAATAAAGGGATAGCGAGTTAAGGTAAGTCAAATAATGAATGGCTTGCCATAATATGACGCCCTCCAAACTGTCCTGTTTTCATAATGAACTCACTTGCTGGTGAATATTGTATCATGTCACTGCATATTGTAGCGTGCCAACCAGTGGCTCAGTTTTGCAGAAGCACTGTACTATCCGAGAGGCCCTCGTTTTAAGCATGCACTGTATGTACCAAAGGGCCCAGGTGTTTCACTCGATGTATGCACTGAGGGGTCTTGGGGCCCTTGTGGTCAACTCACCCTGTAAGCACCCAGGGGCCTGATGGCCCTTGTGGTCAGCTCACGCTTTAAGAACCGAGGGGCCTCATATTGTAAGCGCTGCGGGGCCCGAGGGCCCTAGTTGTCAGCTCACGTTTTAAACACCAATGGGTCTGGGGGCCCTCACATTGTAAGCGCTGAGGGGTCCGATGGCCCTAGTGGTGAGCTCATGCTATAAGCACCCAGGGGCCTAGCGATCAGCTTGCGCTGTGTGCACTGAGGGCCCTGGCGTTCAACTTCCTTTGCAAGTCTTGGGCCACGCACTGCGTGGCCTGAGGCTTGGAGGCCCGCTGGCAGTCCGAGGTCCCAGGGCACTAGCCCCACTGGCCCGGTCCATAATCCAGCCTTGTCACTAACACTATTTGCCCCAACGGTCTGTTAAGGCTATACGGGAGGTCTTTGTCTTTTTCGTTATAACCTGGTTGAACGCTGTGTGGACATGGGTGGAGGAATCAATGAGTGAAGTTTACAGGAACGGTGACCACTCACCGATTCCTACAGCACACACACACTTAGCGTCAACAGGAATGGACGGAAATATTTTCAGAGCATTTTATTTCATGAATTGTCTGTGATGGGTAGAGGAGGGTGTAACGACACACTTTTTACTCGCAGCCATCTGACCAAAAAACAATTTTTAATTGCATCGGGTCGTGAAAGCCTGCACGCGTTAAATATGCACACGCGGTCACTTCCGTCCACCTTTGTATTTGTTAGTCTGCGTTTGACAATTCACACACGGTTTCCTGCTGACCTCACCTGAAACCCACAGACCACCAGAACTTCTACAAAACCTTGTCTTGTTTTTTTTCATATCCAATTATATGAATATGATGTGAAGCGCCACGTGAAACAATACATTTATAACAAGTGAAGTGACGGGCCAGGTGAAAACAAAGCATGGCCCGCATTTTGCCCACATACCACAGGACAGGGTCCCTGCTGTCCTGGGGTGACCTGGCGCTCGCCTTTGGTTTTATCAGAGTGTGGTGACCGCAAAGAGCGAGGTGAGTGCAGGGAGCAAGGTGAGCATGGTAAACATTGTGGTTGTGGTGAGCATTGTGAGCGTGGTGAGTGCGGTGAGCGAGGTGATTGTTGCAAGTGTGGTGAGCGAGGTGATTGTTGCAAGTGTCGTGAGCGAGGTGATTGTTGCAAGTGTGGTGAGCGAGGTGATTGTTGCAAGTGTGGTGAGCGAAGTGATTGTTGCAAGTGTGGTGAGCGCGGTGATTGTTGCAAGTGTGGTGAGCGCGGTGATTGTTGCAAGTGTGGTGAGCGAGGTGATTGTTGCAAGTGTGGTGAGCGAGGTGATTGTTGCAAGTGTGGGGAGCGAGGTGATTGTTGCAAGTGTGGTGAGCGAGGTGATTGTTGCAAGTGTCGTGAGCGAGGTGATTGTTGCAAGTGTGGTGAGCGAAGTGATTGTTGCAAGTGTGGTGAGCGCGGTGATTGTTGCAAGTGTGGTGAGCGCGGTGATTGTTGCAAGTGTGGTGAGCGAGGTGATTGTTGCAAGTGTGGGGAGCGAGGTGATTGTTGCAAGTGTCGTGAGCGAGGTGATTGTTGCAAGTGTGGTGAGCGAAGTGATTGTTGCAAGTGTGGTGAGCGAAGTGATTGTTGCAAGTGTGGTGAGCGCGGTGATTGTTGCAAGTGTGGTGAGCGAGGTGATTGTTGCAAGTGTGGTGAGCGAGGTGATTGTTGCAAGTGTGGTGAGGGAGGTGATTGTTGCAAGTGTGGTGAGCGAGGTGATTGTTGCAAGTTTGGTGAGCGAGGTGATTGTTGCAAGTGTGGGGAGCGAGGTGATTGTTGCAAGTGTGGTGAGGGAGGTGATTGTTGCAAGTGTGGTGAGCGAGGTGATTGTTGCAAGTGTGGTGAGCGAGGTGATTGTTGCAAGTGTGGTGAGCGAGGTGATTGTTGCAAGTGTGGGGAGCGAGGTGATTGTTGCAAGTGTGGTGAGCGAGGTGATTGTTGCAAGTGTCGTGAGCGAGGTGATTGTTGCAAGTGTGGTGAGCGAAGTGATTGTTGCAAGTGTGGTGAGCGCGGTGATTGTTGCAAGTGTGGTGAGCGCGGTGATTGTTGCAAGTGTGGTGAGCGAGGTGATTGTTGCAAGTGTGGGGAGCGAGGTGATTGTTGCAAGTGTCGTGAGCGAGGTGATTGTTGCAAGTGTGGTGAGCGAAGTGATTGTTGCAAGTGTGGTGAGCGAAGTGATTGTTGCAAGTGTGGTGAGCGCGGTGATTGTTGCAAGTGTGGTGAGCGAGGTGATTGTTGCAAGTGTGGTGAGCGAGGTGATTGTTGCAAGTGTGGTGAGGGAGGTGATTGTTGCAAGTGTGGTGAGCGAGGTGATTGTTGCAAGTTTGGTGAGCGAGGTGATTGTTGCAAGTGTGGGGAGCGAGGTGATTGTTGCAAGTGTGGTGAGGGAGGTGATTGTTGCAAGTGTGGTGAGCGAGGTGATTGTTGCAAGTGTGGTGAGCGAGGTGATTGTTGCAAGTGTGGTGAGCGAGGTGATTGTTGCAAGTGTGGTGAGCGAGGTGATTGTTGCAAGTGTGGTGAGCGAGGTGATTGTTGCAAGTGTGGGGAGCGAGGTGATTGTTGCAAGTGTGGTGAGCGAGGTGATTGTTGCAAGTGTCGTGAGCGAGGTGATTGTTGCAAGTGTGGTGAGCGAAGTGATTGTTGCAAGTGTGGTGAGCGCGGTGATTGTTGCAAGTGTGGTGAGCGCGGTGATTGTTGCAAGTGTGGTGAGCGAGGTGATTGTTGCAAGTGTGGGGAGCGAGGTGATTGTTGCAAGTGTCGTGAGCGAGGTGATTGTTGCAAGTGTGGTGAGCGAAGTGATTGTTGCAAGTGTGGTGAGCGAAGTGATTGTTGCAAGTGTGGTGAGCGCGGTGATTGTTGCAAGTGTGGTGAGCGAGGTGATTGTTGCAAGTGTGGTGAGCGAGGTGATTGTTGCAAGTGTGGTGAGGGAGGTGATTGTTGCAAGTGTGGTGAGCGAGGTGATTGTTGCAAGTTTGGTGAGCGAGGTGATTGTTGCAAGTGTGGGGAGCGAGGTGATTGTTGCAAGTGTGGTGAGGGAGGTGATTGTTGCAAGTGTGGTGAGCGAGGTGATTGTTGCAAGTGTGGTGAGCGAGGTGATTGTTGCAAGTGTGGTGAGCGAGGTGATTGTTGCAAGTGTGGTGAGCGAGGTGATTGTTGCAAGTGTGGTGAGCGAGGTGATTGTTGCAAGTGTGGTGAGCAAGGTGATTGTTGCAAGTGTGGTGAGCGAGGTGATTGTTGCAAGTGTGGTGAGCGAAGTGATTGTTGCAAGTGTGGTGAGCGAGGTGATTGTTGCAAGTGTGGCGAGCGCGGTGATTGTTGCAAGTGTGGCGAGCGCGGTGATTGTTGCAAGTGTGGCGAGCGAGGTGATTGTTGCAAGTGTGGCGAGCGAGGTGATTGTTGCAAGTGTGGTGAGCGAGGTGATTGTTGCAAGTGTGGTGAGCGCGGTGATTGTTGCAAGTGTGGTGAGCGCGGTGATTGTTGCAAGTGTGGTGAGCGCGGTGATTGTTGCAAGTGTGGTGAGCGCGGTGATTGTTGCAAGTGTGGTGAGCGCGGTGATTGTTGCAAGTGTGGTGAGCGCGGTGATTGTTGCAAGTGTGGTGAGCGCGGTGATTGTTGCAAGTGTGGTGAGCGCGGTGATTGTTGCAAGTGTGGTGAGCGCGGTGATTGTTGCAAGTGTGGTGAGCGCGGTGATTGTTGCAAGTGTGGTGAGCGCGGTGATTGTTGCAAGTGTGGTGAGCGCGGTGATTGTTGCAAGTGTGGTGAGCGCGGTGATTGTTGCAAGTGTGGTGAGCGCGGTGATTGTTGCAAGTGTGGTGAGCGCGGTGATTGTTGCAAGTGTGGTGAGCGCGGTGATTGTTGCAAGTGTGGTGAGCGCGGTGATTGTTGCAAGTGTGGTGAGCGCGGTGATTGTTGCAAGTGTGGTGAGCGCGGTGATTGTTGCAAGTGTGGCGAGCGCGGTGATTGTTGCAAGTGTGGCGAGCGCGGTGATTGTTGCAAGTGTGGCGAGCGCGGTGATTGTTGCAAGTGTGGCGAGCGCGGTGATTGTTGCAAGTGTGGCGAGCGCGGTGATTGTTGCAAGTGTGGCGAGCGCGGTGATTGTTGCAAGTGTGGCGAGCGCGGTGATTGTTGCAAGTGTGGCGAGCGCGGTGATTGTTGCAAGTGTGGCGAGCGCGGTGATTGTTGCAAGTGTGGCGAGCGCGGTGATTGTTGCAAGTGTGGTGAGCGCGGTGATTGTTGCAAGTGTGGTGAGCGCGGTGATTGTTGCAAGTGTGGTGAGCGCGGTGATTGTTGCAAGTGTGGTGAGCGCGGTGATTGTTGCAAGTGTGGTGAGCGCGGTGATTGTTGCAAGTGTGGTGAGCGCGGTGATTGTTGCAAGTGTGGTGAGCGCGGTGATTGTTGCAAGTGTGGTGAGCGCGGTGATTGTTGCAAGTGTGGTGAGCGCGGGGAGCAAGGTGAGTGAGGAGAGTGTGATAAGCATGGTGAGCATGGTGAGTGTGGTGAGCGTGGTGACCGAGGTCAGTGCGGTGAGCGAGGTAAGCATGGCGAATGAGGTGAGTGTGGTGAGGTGAGTGTGGTGAGGATCGCGAGCATGGTGGGCGTGGTAAGTGCGCTGAGCGTGACGAGTGACGTAAGCTAGCCAGTCTGGCAAGCGCCGTGGCTGAGCTCGTGCAAGGGGTCCGCGCCATGGCGGTGGGGCCGCGAACGCAACAGGGCGTCACAACGCAGCATTAGGTCATAGTTGACGCGCTCCGAGATGACGCTGTCGTGTGCGTAGTCGGGGTGGCCGCTCACGAAGGCGCGAAGCCGCTGGGCCGTCGTTCCTAGCTCCCCTGGGGGAAACCAACGAGACGCGCACGCGGTCGCCGCAGCGTCGTCAGCGGCAGCGGAGGAGGAGACAACGACGACCACCGCTCCCATGCACGTAGCGGTGTGCGGAGTCTCTCGCGCACGTTAGGCGCCCAAGCTTGTCGCACCACGCAACCCGATCAGGATTCCTGAGCCCGGAGAGCGCTTGGATGGGCGACCACCGTGCACGCCGAGGCGTTACATGCTGCTGCGGTGCTACGTCGTCGGCAGCGGAAGGCAGTGTCCCCAAAATCAATTGTACTGTACAACGCTCCCGCTTCTATGCTCCTGGCCATCAACAATCTGCAGTCATCACCTCCTCGGTTGCTTCCCCTCTTATGGCTGCCATTCCAACACCGGTCTCGTCTGTCAGCCATCATCCCCTGCACAGCGACGATGAGGCTTGCACGAGATCAGGACTCCTCATCGCTCGCACTTGGAGAAGGGGTGATGATCCGCTGGAGTGCACTCACCGGACGCACGCTTGCTGATGAGCTCCATGTAGTGGGAGATCGTGCACCGAGTCTCCACGTCCACCTCCATGTCTTCCAGGAAGCTGTTGACTATGGGGACGAGGCCCTGGAATAACCCCACCTGTGCTTGCACAGCACACGACAGCACACATCACAGCTCACCGTAAATACCACAGCACTCCGCACACACCACAGCACACCGTAAACACTACAGCACACCGCACACATCATAGCACACTGCACACATTACAGCACACCGTAAATACCACAGCACTCCGCACACACCACAGCACTCTGCACACACCACAGCACACTACACACAGCACAGCACACCGTAAACACTACAGCACACACCGCAAACACTACAGCACACACCACACACATCACAGCACGTACCACACATCACAGCACACCGCAAACACCATAGCACACACCGCAAACGTCACAGCACACACCGCACATATCACAGCACACACAACACATCAGAGCACAGCCCACACATCACATACCGCACACACCCTAGCACACCGTACACACCACACCCCACACCACAGCACACCACATTACAATTGATCACACTGCACCGCAGCACACCACGCCATGGCAGGCAGTGTCAGCTGCAGCCTTCAGTTTATCAGTGTTACTCTCACCAGGCTTGTCACATCGATTTGTTGCATCAAAGGATGGCGACAAATGGCAATGACTTGGTGGAGGCCTGAATCCAGCAGTGTATTGATCATGGCTGATGATTATATGTGGGATGGATCCATGACTGAAGTGGTGAGCCAGTCTGCAGCACGGGAAGTGCCAGTGACTGGTTTGAGTGGAGCTGCATGCTTGAAGGCAGCTCACATGATCACTGGGAGACGAGCTCTAATCATAATGTACAACTGTCAATCCACCGCTTCGATGATGGCCTCCCCAAGCAGTCATGGGGTTTTGACCATTCATCACATGCGTCAGCATGGGGTTTTCATGGGCACGGGGGGGGGGGTGCGTGGCGGAGTCTCCAGAACTGGTTCAGATTTCGCTCCACAACTGATGTTAGCCACAGCATGCCGACCACTATGCCACCGCGCAAAACGGTGAGTGAGACGTTATACAGCAGAGATTGTTGCGGTGCTCTGGACAGCCATGGCGGTGGATGGCAAAGGGTGAGCCTGATGCTGCAAGAGCCCACAGGGCCTGACACTATGAGGATGACTGTGCGCCCTGCCCCGCCGGGTTGCCCACCTTGCCGTTGATGATGGTGTCAATGCTCATGAGGATCCCCACCTCGCCCTCGGACTCGGTGCCGTCTGCTGGGGGAGCGTCCACCTCTGGCCACAAAAAAATAGAAACCGCATGGCAATTTGACGTTCACGCGAGTTGGCGAGCGACCGTGAGCGAGGTTAAGCGCGCGTGTGATGTGCACAAACATGCAGGGCAGGCTGGGGTGAAGGCTTGGGTTGCGAGGAGGTCCAGATCGTTGGCTTGGAGATCAGAGTGGCTGAGCCCACACCGCTGCGATGAGTAGATGGTCTCAGCCCGGTCAACAATGATTGCTCAAAAATTACAAAATCCATGACGTAAAATTTGGTTCTGCACTTAACTTCGCCAAATTCCAGCTGTGAGACTTCAAATATCGCGTTGATTGCCATGCAACAAACATTGCTGTTGGCAGCGGGGCAAGTAGGAGAGTGCTGCCCCCTACCATGTGACATGGAGGTCATTTGCAGAAGGGATCTCAAAAATAGTTCCGGGATATTCACTTCTGTGGGCTATTGTCTAACACGGGGATGGGGGTGGGTCACTGCCATGTGAGATTTCTGAATGTATTCTTCATCTCGTGACTCGACACCGAGAGCACAATCAGAGTAAAGTTGTGAAAAAGACAACGTCTGATTTGTAATGGCTCGACTTGCCTGCTTGAATGTCCTTCCTGAAATAAAACATCTCCTCCAGCACAGCGTTCCTCTTCTGCGCCTTCCTGATGTTCTGATCTACCTGCGACAGAAGAGAATTGATGGTCAGGGACGTGCCAAACATTCAGGCGGCAACCTTATGCACCAAAGGTGCTTGAGAGAAGCAATAAAAAAGTCGCAAATTTAAAAAAATAACATTTGTAATGCGCTGCAGTTTTTGTAATATTGAGGGGCGCCGGAACCAGAGCCTGGTGCTAAAAAATTTCCAAGCTCTGAGGCCCAATACAGGGACTCCTCTACGTATGAACATTCGACTTACGAATTTTTGGAGATACGAACAGACCGAACAGTCATAAATTCAACTGAAGCGCAATTGATGTCAGTGGTGGCATCTACATCTGAACCTTATGGTGGGACCCCGGGGTCCCGAATAAACGGATATTCAACCGTAACTAATTTGTTTTTGCCGACTCCGTCCCACCACACACAGAAACGCCGCAAACCACCTGGCATGGATCATTCTGTTGTCATGTCGTCTAAGCGCAGCGAGGACGAATGCGCAGAAGAAGCAAAACTTTGAAACTTTGATAAAAATACTTTGCAAAGCAGTTTATGCGAGAGCCAGGGGCTTATGGGACCCCGGAGTCGCGCCTATAGGTTAATCTGCAGAACATGAATAATCAGTGGCATCTACATCTGCAGAACTTAAAGAACCAGTGGCATCTACATCTGCAGAACATAAAGAAAACAGTGGCATCAACAACTACATGAGATACTTCAACTTTTGAACCCATTCCCCGAGTTTAGTGTACATGCCGTACAATGGGTTTGGAATCGACGGGAGTAAAGTTGGACTTATGAACAAATCGATTTATGAACAGACCTTTGGAACCTAACTCGTTCGTAAGAGGAGTCACTGTATTTGGACGCTTAGGCCAACTCTATGAACGTGTGTTTGTACACGTGGGAGGAAAGCAGAGCACTCAAAGAAAACCCACTGTGTGTGAACGGAAGGGGGGGGGTTGCAGATGGAATACAGATGGCAATGAATCCACTTGCTGCACTGCCATACCCTAGCCTGAGCCAGGAGATGGCAACCTTGCAGCGCTAGCGGCACTGTGTGGGGAGCGGTGTACGTAACGAAAACGTACCGTTAGTCACAATGCTAACGTGAGTCGAAATTATGGGGTCATTATGGGAGGTGAAACGTTGACTGCAAAAACCGTCATCCTGATGTCACTGTTAACCGAGGGACTAACGTACAAGTTACATTTTGTGTGGAGGTGTTTTTGTTGTTTAAGCTATGGGAGGAAACCAGAGAACCTGGAGGAAACCCATGCAGAACAAAATCCACTCATAAAGGTACCCGAATCGGCAAGAGAACCCAGGGCATTCTAACTCTGAGGCACAAGCTCTACCATTGTCATAGGCTATCCGTCACAATCGAGGATACTTGTCTTCCATATAAAAGTCGGATTATCTGTGGGCCCGAAGATGGCTGAAGAAATGGATCTGGGATTGACAGATTCTGCGCAGCTCAGGCACGTGTCTAGAATCAGTGAGTGGGTGGAACTAGGTTAGGAAGTCGGGCTGCAGCGTCGTGCTGTTTCAAACATTCCCGCAATTCCTGTTTCCGCTGAATTGTAATGCGACCTGGTCGAGCCTTGCCGTAATGCTCACACGTGCCCGAGTCGGGAATCGAACCCAGGCCATTCTTACTCTGAGGCACAAGCGCTACCACTTGCGCCAGCCTATATACAAGTGGATGGGTTGCAATGCGACCAGGATGAGCCTCCCGGCAGCGCTCGCATGGTCGGTGGGAGGGACGCGACTCCTTACCTTTGACAGTGGCACGAGGAAGTTGAGACCATAGGAGATGATGACGCGCGTGAGCAACACCACAAACACCACGTACGCCGCGTTCTCAAAGTCCGTGAGCTGCACCTGCATCACACGCTGCCTGCTTCATCTGACCCACACTGCTCAACCACCACGATTGCATGTCACAGCACACTCACTCAGTCCTCCGCTCACTCACACGCTCATCCACTCACTCACCACACTGCATGTGACAACAACAATAACACACTCGCCCACACACTCGCCCACACACTCATTCAACCACTCAATCGCCCACTCACTCACCCGCTCACTCATTCACTCAATAACCACACTGCATGTAACAACAACAACAACACTCGCCCACCGACTCAATCGCTCACTCACTCATCCACTCACTTATTCACCCACTAACTCACTACACTGCGGGGTCAGAACGCTTCTGGTTCTGCTTCTTCGCATGTACTGCTCCATTTTGAAATTCCCTCCTCCCATCATCACCTCTTTTTCCCAAGCCTCAGAGGCATCTCAGTATGACTCCACCTCAACGTATAATCCGCGTCGCCCTCTCGGAGAGGCTTACGTCCATCGGCCGGAACTCGACGCGCCACCCGATGTTGGTGTTCGGCGGTGGAGGTTTGAAGCGTAATGTCTGCCAGTTTGTGGACTGGATGCACTGCAATGCACATGCACACGGATACACGCACGCACACGGGGTGGGCGCTCCGGCCAGCGCCCACGATCACGGAAGACACGTGCCGATCCCTTGCGGGTGTTCTCCAGTCAGGCTATCACTTCTCACGGAATATTTTATGGGGTTACCGGTTAGGTAGGCACACGACTGGTAGCACCGCAAGTGGGGAATTCGAGGGTTGGCAGGGCGGATCGGTATTAACACATCTCAAAGCAGGAAGATGCCTGGGTTAGATTCCCGACTTGGGGACCTTTCAGCGTGGAAATTTTTGTGTCTGTTTTTCCTCCTGTTCTTTATGGGTCTCCTACGGGTTCCCCGGTTTCAACCCACAGCTTTAAAAAAATACACCATGCGATGCAACTGACGTTTGCCAAACAACATAAAATGCTGAAATTTACCTGCAAATTACTCAAATTAGCAGCACACAGAGGCAGCTGCAGCAATATCCCAACCCCCCCCCCCCCCCCCGCTTATGCAAAAATTGGCGGCACCCTCCTGCAAAATATTTTTGGGACCTGGCGAGACCTTTATGGGTAAACAAGCGGAATAATATTCATAAAGTACACTGGCGGATGACTCACTTCAAAGTGGTAGGCCTCGTTCTCATCGTCGTCGGCATGGATCTTCTCGCAGAACAGCACGAGGGGGTCGCGGATGAAGAGGTGAGCAAAGTGCTGAGCGAGCAGCGGATCGATGCCTGTGAGCCAGAGGCACGGCTCATGCAAAAAGATACAAAGTTCCCCCCCGTGTGCCCTTGAACAGAGGCTGCTGCGAGCAAGCGCTGTTAGAGAGCACCGATGACGGCTGGAACGGTATACGAGGGGAGTACATGGCCAGCACCACGTCCAACCGTCTTTGTCTCCCCAGTAGCGATGCTTACACACCACACCAGGTACTCATTTGAGGTTGAGTCGACCTAGGGGAGGCCCACGAACAGTTCAGTTAATCATCACTGGTCACCAGTTTCGTAGAGCAGCACGTGCTTACTGCTACACTACCTCTTCTCCACATGCACACACAGCTCATGCAAACACACATTGCATGTCACTAGATTAAGAAGAAAAACACATTGCATTGACAAATCTAAAAATAAAATAATTAAAACCAGCTTCATTAGGCGATAGCCAGAAATGGGGAAAATTACTCCTGTTTTGGTCTTAATTGCTCCTGGAATTACCAGCAGAAATATCGCAGTACTCGAATTGTAAATGTTGTAGGGTTTACTCTCCAACACCCAACTGGTGTGCTGAACAAGTAACTAATTGGGTATGTTTTGTTTAAGTGAAAAACCTTACCGATTGCCTTGATATCCTCGATCTAACCAGTTTAAAAAGCGAAGAGGGGAGAGCTGGAGCAGATGGAGGTTGGGAACTGGGGGCCTGCAAGGGACACCAGCCAGTAGACGTACTCAGCCCAATCACAATCGACGTGGCGTATCATGATTTCCTCGCCGGCATGCCTGTGGTCACGCAGCACCGAGTCACGTGCCCTCGACCAGTGAGAGCAGTAGATAGTTGCACCGGCACGGCAAGTCAAAAATCCTTTGGTGTTTCACAGCATGCGCGATTAATCCATAACCCCAATAAACGGTCGGTGAAATTGAAGGAGGGGAGAGGTGAGCATGGCGGGGGAGGTAATTGTTGCAGAGAGGTGAGCGCGACGGGGGAGGTGAGCATGGCAGAGGAGGTGAGCGGCGAGTACGACAGGGGAGGTGAGTAAAGCAGGGGAGGTGAGAATGTTGGGGGAGGTGAGCCTGGCAGTGGAGGTGAGCATAGCAGGCAGAAATTCCGTGCCTGCATCCAGGAGCTGCAGGTGGACGTCCTCGTCCTTGGGCAGCTCCAGGTCATTGAACTGCGCTCCGCCGGGCGACAGGAAGCTGTCGATGGAGTCAAACCGCGATTTGGCGATTCGCCACTTGCACGTTGTCAGGGGCTGCAAAAAGGGAGATGCGCAGATTGATATTTTGATTGTGAAGATTCTCAGTGGTGCCAGCTCAACGCTGTCGCCTCATGGCAACGACAACCGAAGGCTGCAAAAACAAATGGCAATCAACCCGGTGCCTAGGGAACAACGCGTTATGATGTTTATTATTATTTAAAATGTCCAGAGCTAAATGTTCCGATCCATAGTCACGTATTTTCGCGAGCACGTACATACTCCCCCTGCAGAGTTAATTGCAACGCGGTGTTTATCACCGACGAGTCACGATATCTCAAGCGCTGTCCAGTGATCAGTTAACAGGCGCGAACAAGGAAGCACAGCCAAATCAGGGCTTGAATTCAGCCAGGGGCTTGTCTGGGTTGGCGATCCAGAAGATGTTTCTGATCCCGGCATGCCCTTGCCTCCCCCAGGTTCCCAGAACATTGCTCCCTGGACAGAAGCTCTGCTTCACTCTGCTGTCCAGATATATAACTACCTCTTTGAACACATTATCAGCTAAATCACTGATTCTGGTCTTCTCGGCCTCCAAATGCCGAAAACATATGGTACATCATAAGACCTCCTTTGCCAGTAGCAAAATATAATAGTTTTTTTACCCTTTTATTTGGCACAAAACTGACACCTTTTTACAAGGGATAATGTTTGCATTTTGATCACAATACCTGTGGTCAAAATGCAAACAAACACAGCACTCTGATAATGTATGCATTGTCCTTGAAATTGATTGGTCCACACCAGAGACGGTCTCAGGGTGTTCGACCAGATGACGCCAAAAGGCACACGTGCCTCTCTCTTACATCTCTCATGCTTCCATGTCCTTTGCATTGCACTCTCATGCTCACATGTCCTTTGGATTGCGCTCTCATGCCTTTGGATTGCACCGCTCTCCATTCTTACAGTTACATGCTAATTTCTCACATTAATATCACTAGCCCTGTCCACTTCTTTATGACCCTTGGGCTACACCCATTTCAAACCTTTTAAAACAGTCTGCCTCAGCAGCAGATCATGCTTTCCCACCTGATGACGGACACTTGTGTTGCTCCCGAAATGTAGTGATTTATTTTATTTTATACCTATGTTACTTCACCGAAAGATCCAAAGAGTGTAGAAGTCTTAGGGCATGACTACGTGATGCAGACTACGTACCAGGACATCGGACAATGAAGATGAAGACCTCATCCCTCAAACAGCATGGGGGATGGCAACCCCTGAGGTGCTGTCGGCGGAGTAGTGCACCGACCCGGCGCGCAACGGCTCACTACCATCGGGGAAGGAGCGCCGGATGGCATACTCCAGCCTTTCAGAGCTCCTGCAAGCCACAGCGTCAATCGTCATGGAGCTCCACCGCAAGGAGCCAGCGGTTGACGGAGGTGCAGCGGAACCGCGTGGAAACAAAGCCTCCGCCGCCATTTCCCCCCAAGTGGGAACCTCTGTGGCGCAGTCCGCGCTTGTGGCTGCCATCTTGTCAGAAGAGAAGAGTGCAGAGCCCGCCAAATCCGAAGCTACATCCAAATCGCCTGTGGAAATTCCATCTCTCCGGTGATGACTGCCCTTCGTGAAATAATTTACAGCCGCCGGAGGGGACTGGGTGGCCGTCAAGCGTCGGTTCCTGATGAACACCGACTTAGCGGAGTGGACCGAGGTGGAGTCATTGATGACGACGCCCTGGCAGTGTTTCTCACCATCCCACCGTCAAAGAGGACCATGCTGACTCAAGCCTTTGACCAAATGGCAGCAATTTACAAGTCACCGTCGAACATGCACCACAAGTTCCCCTCGACTTCCATAGCGCACTTTTGATGCTAGTGAAGGCTGCCTTTCCGAGGATGGGCCACAACGGAGTCGACTCGTTGGTCCTCGAGAGATTGCTGGCTTTGGCTAAGGACCTCAATATCGTCCTGCCGCCTGTAGACGACCATCTTTCGCCTATCAATGTTGAAAGATGCATCCAGGCTCAACAGCTCTTGCAATGGCACAAGGGGTTGGCGGGGTGTACCACGTCCTGTGAGGGGACGAATACACCTGAAGACGTAGAGCCCATCCCAGCCTGCGCATCAACCCAGAGCGGAGGCGGGTGAGGGGACGGCATGGTGGGATGGGCGGAAGACCAGCGATGGCGGAAGACATCTCGTCCTGGGAGCGGGCTCGTCATGTACTACAGCTGTGGCCTGCTAGGGCATGTCTCGTAGGGCTGACGCGTGCCACGACGATGCCTCCCCGGACCACCACCATCATCTGCCCGACCGTCCTTTGCTCCACTGCACCCGAAGGCGAGTCACGACACATCCCACACCCATCTCTTTCATTCAGTTTCTGTTCCGGTCGTGCGTCGGTGCAAGAGGATTCTGACTTCAATCGGGCCGGCCGGCCGCTCCTACTGGGTCAGTGGTCAAAGCTGGCCAATTGAGTGGTGGCCGTGACTAAAGGTTCATCCGCTGTCATTTGATTGATAGAAGGGGTTGAAATTAGGATGCTCGTTGACACCAGTGTGTCAGCGACCATCATTTCAGAGTTGATTTATAATATCTTGACCCCTAATTGTTGTTCCTTATGCTCTGTCGAAGCTCTGTGCTTCACCACAAACGGCGGCTCATTGGGATAATAACAACAGAGGTGTGTATTTTGGATGTCAAATTTATGGGGACCAGTTCTTGTTTCAACGTCCTTTGCTATTCCTTGCTTGCTCGGGACTGATTTTCTGGGAAGGATGCCCCTGGAAATTTAGATTGACCAGAGGTGCCTGGAATTACCATCCCGCCGTTGAATAGCATTCTTGCCTTCTCCCACTTGCTTGTGCACAGCTAACGCTACCGTGCAAGCATTTGCATGAAGGATGGTTAAAATTCCCCCCGACGCACGAATGTTGGTCCCCCTACGATTGTGAAAGCCACTAGACCAGGAAGTGACGGCGGGAGGAATTCTCTTGGGACCTAATGAAGCCAGTCGTGGATTGACGTTAGTAGGGGCTCAGATGTTGGTATCCAACGATCAGGAACCCTTCATTCAGGTTCATAACGCAGGGTTTAGACACGTTTGTCGAAGAAGATACCATGCTAGCTCATGCGTCACCAGTGCTTTATGAGGAAAGCATTGTTGGCAGTGTGGGTGCCACATCGAATACGCGGCCCCACCAAAGTCCTGATGAGGGGTGGATGGATACGCTTTGTTCGGAGAATACGGATTTGTCCAAGGTCCAGAGGGGGAAATTGAGGGCGCTTTTGCGCGAATTTTCAGATGTTTTTAGCTAAAGGGAACTTTGACATCGGCCGCACTATTCTTTTGAGTCATCACATTGATACGCGTGACGCTACTCCCATCCGGCAGAATCCCTACCGGTTGAGCCCTAAGGAAGAAGAACACGTTTGGCTGGTGGTTGACAAAATGTTAGCCACAAATATTATTTAATCATCCACCAGCCCATGGGGAGCCCCAATTGTAGTTGTTAAAAAGCAGGATGGTAGCTTGCGCTTTTGTGTTGACTTCCGTAAGGTTAATAAGGTCCCTGTTGCTGATGCGTATCTTCTACCTCGAATGGACGATTCACATTATGCTCTAGCAGGAACGCGGTTCTTTTCCACTCTTGATCTCCTATCCGGGTTTTGGCAGTTGCCGTTAGACAAAGCCTCTAAGCCCAAAACAGCCATTCATACACCACAAGACTTGTTCAAATTTAATCAGCTTCCGATGGGTCTTCATTCCACGCCGGCTATGTTCCAGCAATTAATGGAACTGGTTGTGGCTGGTCTCCAGCGGGACTCGTGTGTGATATATCTCGATGATGTTATAGTTTTCAGCCGTACGTTTGACGAACACCTGGAACGGCTACGCACTGTCTTTCTCAAAATGCGTGCGGCCACCTTCAGAAATTGGTTCGGTATCTTGGCCACATAGTAAGTGAATCGGGTATTGTGATTGACCCAGACAAAACCGCGCGTGTTCGTATTTGCCCGACCCCCACGTCGGTGGGGGAGGTGTGCAGTTTAATAGGATTTGCATCCAAATTACCACTGCTTTTTAGTCAGGGTCACTACCATCACTAAACCTCTCCAATACTTCATGGAAAAGGGTCATAAATTCCATTGGGGGGAGGAGGAGGCCGCATTTGTTGCGCTTTGGGGTGGCTTGGTGAACGCCCCTACCCTCTGCTTTCCTGACTTTTCCTTGCTGTTCTTCCTTGATACAGACGCTAGTAACACCAGAATTGGAGCTGTTCTGTCTCCAGATATCGATGGCCTTCGATAGGGTTGTCGCATACGGAAGCAGAGAGCTGTCTCCGGCCGAACAACGGTACTGTGTCACACGCTGGAAACTGTTAGCTATTGTGGTTTACGTGCAACAGTATCACACCTATTTGTATGGTAGACGCTTTGAGGTGCACTCTGACCACGCAGCGCTACAATATGCGCTGCGTGTTAAACAGCCATCTGGCCAACTTTCACGTTGGTTGGAGGTCCTCCAGGACTATTCCTTAAATGTTACCTATTGCAAAGGCTCCTGACACACGAACACTGATATCCTGTTGTGATTGCCGGGTGCGCATGTTTTTCGGGCTCCGGGCGCTGTAATTCACCCAACGAGTACTCGCCCCCTTCCCTTGCGGCAGCAGCCGAGGTTGTAACATCTGAAGTGGCCGCGGGTCCAGTGGTGCGTGATGCCGTCATTGGGTTGGACCAAGACGAATGGGGCGCCTCCAGGTTGAGGTAGCTTCCCTGCTTAAATTGTGACGCTGTGTCAGGGAGGATGATGTGGGTGGGGATCGACGGGTGTCGCCTTTCCCATTCTTAGAGGCGGATTGCTCATGCATTGGGACAGAGGGTTGTGCCGTTATAACATTGTTGTGCCCACTGCCCTGCGGGGCAAGGTCATTTGGGTGGTACACGAGCACCTGTTGCACCTGGGTGTGCATAAGACATTGGCCAACTTAAGCTGGACTTCTTCTACCCTAGCATGGCTGAGGATGTTACTAATTTGTTGAAAGGGTGTGTGCAGTGCATGGGGCAGAAACCGCTGGTGAAACCTTGTTGTCCAATATTGTAATCGATTCAGGTCTCCCGCGTAAATGAAATAGTTGCTCTGGACATCCCTGGTCCATTTCCCACTACCCCTCGTGGGACTAAGTATTTCCTAGTGGGAGTCGAGCATTTTTCACGATGGCCTATGACCTGGCAGCTCCCCAACCAGTCGGTGGCGACGATCACTGAGGCATTCCTCAATGACTATGTAATGGACAAGGGTGCTCCTGAACGTCTTCTGACTGATCAGGGCAAAAATAAATTCTTCAAAATTGTTGCGCGAAGTGTGCGATTTGTTGGGAACAAAGAAAGTACGCACATCACCATACCACCCGCAGACGGAGGGCATGGTTGAGCGTCTGCACAGGATTCTGACCTCTACGTTGAGCCATCAGGTCAGCGAGTCACAACTCGACAGGGATTTGCAAATTTCCGGAGTCCTAGCTGCATATAGGATGGCTCCTCATGCATCCACCGGGAACTCGCCGTTTTTTTAATGTACGGGAGACAACACAACCCCCCGATTGATGTCCAGTTACAAGCCCTGCCCAACAAGACTAAATCTCAAATTTCTGATTCCGTGCGCTAAGCCTTCAAAAGCTTTCCGAAGCGCGGGAGGCTTCCAGGGAAAATTCCAATTCGCGTAAATTAGCAAATGAGCGGCTGAGGGGTTCCCGTGCTTGTGCACATGAGTGGGCACCTGGGGATAGAGCCTGTTTGCACTGTTCACAGGTAGTGATGGGTATGTCGCCCAAATGATTCAAACCCTGTGTGTATGACCCTACCCCACACTCACACACTCACAACGCATCGCCCGGCGTCTGCTTAACACAACAGTGTTGAACAAGAAGACAAACCACCAACACGCACATATCTGGAATAAGAAGAAGACTAATAATAATAGTGCGTCAACTATTAGCTGATGATGAAGAACATTGATGACCATTGAGTTATGTGGATACGGTCGTTTAGAAGTATGTTAGTCGTTATTTTTGTTAATTGCATAACTTACCAATGAATTCATTGATGAAACTAAACGTCTAGAAACCTATGTTATGAATCCACACACTCGCAGAGAGACTATTGTGTTGAAATCTTTCTTTTGATCACAGAATCTTGCCTGCGAATTAATTGAAGCCTTAGCCAATTGATAAGCATTTGCTGAAGCAGGCACACTGCCACACACCATTATTCCAAGATATTTCGTTAATTACATAATCTTACCAATGAATTCATTGAGGCCTACTTTTGCCTTCGGAACATGTTTCTTTATTGCCGTTCGTTTGAATATCGTCACATTCATTTTAAAGGACTTTTTCCAACTGCCGTATATGCTCGTGTTACTCTCAGGAATGAATATATTGTTCTGTTACCCAATTTTACAAACGTAACCATTGAGGGTTAAATGTACGGATTAATGAGGAGAACACCTCCAGGTGTACTGTGTGGACAATTCCAAGCATATTAGAGTGTTATGTTTTTGGTTAGAAATGTAAATTGCTTAACACAGAAGTGTCTGAATGGTGCCTTCCAAAGTTCATACTTAATAATCTTAATTATGAGAACTGTATCCTGCGGTGAGATTTGAATTTGGAGACCTGATATAAAAACACTAAGACACAATCAGTAAATGTTAAACCAAGAATAATTGTATTATCCTGATTGATAATACAACCCTAGACAACGAAGCCGACCTTAATTTAGCATAATTACATCACAATTGTTTAACTTCATACAATTCATTGTATTATCCTGATTGATAATACGACCCTAGACAACGAGGCAGAGCCTAATTATCATAACGACATGCATTAGCATGATTCTATGCATTTGCATAACTAATCACAATTAAACATTAACAATTAGCGTAATTTATGCACATACTTACATAAATCAGCATGGTTTCTGATAATTACGCATTTTCCATTTTTATGTAATTTGTATTAATTTAATTAATTTTATAAATTTTTCAAGACCCGACATATACAACACCATCCACAAGTCTCCTGCCTGCTTCCGTGCCTGCCAAGTGTCCTGTCGGCGATCTGGCTGCCAGCGGTTGTTTGCGGCACCGCCTCAGCCATTACCTGCCCTTCCTACAATTTTAAAAAATTATGTTTGTCTCGTGTATGGCACTTTTGGGGAGCTAGATATAAATGTTGAGGTCTGCTGGCAACGAAAGGGCTTCAGGAGAGAGCACATGCAGTCCTGTTATTCCTCCAATGAAGAGACGGAGACCACACTGGTCTATTATATGGTCCATCATTTGGGTTCACAGTTGCATTGCTTATTAAAATAGTCTAGTTTCAACTTGCTACACCGTTGTGAAATGCCTGACAATAGTTTAATAGTTTTTTTCTTAGCTCTACCTGCAGGCAGCAGTTTCCCGTGCCGAATCCCGTCGCGTCCATGTAAATGTGGTCAGCCTTCATCGCGATGGCCGCCTCCTCGTCACCGTGCGGGATTTGGTCGATGAATGGGGATGGAGTGTTTCTGTCCCTGAAGACTAGGGGGGTGGGGGAGGTAGACGAGGGGGGAAGCGAGGTTTGAAGCGCAGCACATACTCCTGTTGTTGTACGTTGCAGGTGAAAGGGAAAAGAATGGGGGAGGGGGGCGGCTGGTTTTAATGATACCCACTTGGTACGTTCACCACGACCTTCTCTCCTCGCCTCTCGCGGATGTTCCTCGTAATCGTACTGCGGGCAAGAGATGACAAAAAACGAAACCCGACGACGTTTCTGTGAAATTCAAATGAATGCAACGGCCCTCCGTAATGGTACCCCGCAACATCAACATTATCTGCCCCCTGACGTCAATCCCGGGGCACTACGGTGGCGAGATGTTAACTACATTTCCTGGTATACAGGAGGTCGTGAGTTCGATCCCTATGCTGCCACCTGTATATTTGGAATTGCATGTTGTCCCTTTGGTTGCGTGGAATTTTTCCGGGTCCTCTGGTTTTTCCCTCCACATTTAGAAACATGCGTTTAGAGTATTTGACTGCTATACATTTCCACACGATAAGAAACTTTGTTGAGCTATCATTTTTGGCCAGGTCGCTTCTGGAAAAGAGCTGCATAGCTCTGTTGGCCTTACCTGGTGAAAAAAAAATTGTTTAGTTTATTTTAGTTTACTCCAAAGTACTCGTTTGAGGCTGAGTCGACCTAGGGGAGGCCGAGGACTGGTTCAGATCATCGTTATTCGTGTTGACTATGAGTGGGAATCTAACTCGGGCTACCGGGTTTAGTAGGGCAGCGCACTGACCGCTACTACACTATCCCTCCCCACACTGTCCAGATCTCACGCACTCACTCATGTACTCACTCCACACACTCAAACACTCACCACACACTCTCACCTGAAGCGCGGGTGGCAGGTGATAGCCTCGTCCGGCAAGAACACAGACGCAGATAGTCCATCTCGGTGCTGGGGCACACACTCAGGCTGAGAGAAACCTGGGCAGCCGAGTCTGCATCAACAGGAGCCACGCACAGGCGAGTCAGCGGGTGAGCGAGGGCGCCCATACATGAATGCGGGCGAGCCAGCTATACGTGACATGCAGGCTGGCCCTCCCTGTTTGAACCGAAATCTTCACAGCGACCGGGTCGTACAGCAGCGTGGTCGTGAGAGAAATGAGGGCAAATATTCCAGGCGGTGAATTCGGGCCCCCCACTCGCCCCCCACACGTAGCATTCTGTGCCGGGCTTCTGGGAACATCTGGGCGGGCCTTGCGCTTTTTAATTCAGATCGAAAAGTAATTACTTTAAAACTGTGTGGTGCCACAACGACGGGGCCGCTCTGCCGAGCCAGGGAGCCGCCCGGCTTCCCCCACCGCACTGCCCCCCATCACCCGCCCCACATAAGCACACACCCGCACGCATTCCCCCCCCCCCCCCATAGAGCTGGAAGGGAAGGTTACCTGATCGACCGGTTTTTATCCGAGAGACCCTTATCGGGATTAATTCTCACGGTTTCCGGCGATCAGGGAATTGGATGACCTCCCCCGTGCTACGTGGCACAGCGGCGCTGCGGCCGGCCTTAATATGGTGTGGTCGCGGCGTGGGGCATTCGGCCACCGCGGTTGAGGCGCATTTCCCCCCCACACACACCCCCACGAGTCGACGGGGCAAGCAGGGGAAGCACGGGACAGCATGAATAGCGGGGTCACAGGGGCTGTTGCGCATAGTCATGGAGGGTTGGGATAATTGCGCTTGAGCGCGCAGGCCCCATTGTTAGGAAGGGTAAGGGAGTAATTAGGATGTACGCCGCCAACGTCGCGCACTGATTAGCATATCAACAGCGCCCGGGAACCGCCGTGCGCGGGCTTGGGGTGCACGAGCCCATTGTTCAGCGCAGCATCCCCTTTGAGGTAGGGAGGATAAATAGAGGAGCGGAGAGGGGAAATCGCCCCTTCTCTCCAGGCCAGCGGACCAGCAGGAGTTCCAGCCAGCGACCCGGACGTCCGTGCGACGCATCGAGGTACGCTGTTAGTGCAGAGAGCAGCGAACCTCCGCGGGCACCAAACAGTGAGTGGGGAGGTGAAGTAGGGTATCGTAAGCCGATAAATAGGGACTAGGTACAGGTTTAGTGGAATAGGCCAGCCTCGTCGACTCACTGATTCCACATCAATTCGCAGGTGGCATATAATAAATCATTAATAGCGAAGCGTGGTCTCGCGTGATCTTGTCGTGCAGTGTGAGCGTGTGGGTGCGCTGTGTGCACAGTGGTTCGCCACGTGAGTGAGCGCTGCGCGGAGCTGAGCGCGCGGGTTGCGCGTAGGTACGCAGTGATTCTGTGGTGCTGCGGCTCGCCTCGGGGGAGCGCTGCGCAGAGCGGTGCGAGAGTGGGTGTCGCGTGTGTTCACTCCGTGTGTGATACAGGTGCGCGAGTATAACGTGAGTTGAGTTGGAGTGCGCGGAGCGGCGTGTGTGTGGGCGTGCGTGCGTAATCGGCGTCCCCCAGGTGCGCGCTCATAACGTGAGCGGCCAGCAGGCGGCGAGCGCTGCGCAGAGCGGCGCAAGAGTGGGTATCGCGTGTGGAGCTGTATGCGTGTGTGCGCGCACGTTCACTACGTGTATAATACGGATGCGCATTGGGAACGTGCCGCACAGGGCTATACTGCGAGCACGGCGTTTGATCGACGATGATGTGCGCACGTATGCTCGCAGCGTGGGAGCGCGGCGCGAGGCTGTAACCGTAGGGGCGTCGCGTTCGAATGCCGGCGAAACCGTAGCGGGTAATAGGGAGGTGGGGTAACGTAAACGAATAGGGGATGCAGGCGGGAGGGACCCCGGGGGCCGACGGCCCCCACAACTGCTTGTTGTGTTTAGTTTGTTGTCCTCCCCACCCCCACCCTCCCCCTGCACACTGCGATTAGCCCGGTTGGCTACGTTCAGTACGAAAGAAGTTAAACATACATATGTAGCGACACAGCACTGACTGCTGCACAGCAGCTGCACCTGAACCGTATGGCAGGACTCCGGGGTCCAGAATAAACGGAAGTCAAAATCGGAATAAATTAAAAACGATTTTCGCGACTCCGTTCCATGGCGCACATAGACACCGCGACCCACCTCTGTTGTCATGTCGTCCAAGTGTAGTGAGTCCAACTGAGTCGCAGACGTTGTCCTGCTCCCAGGACAACGTCTGCGACACAACCTACACTTGGGTGTTGAATGGCAGAACTAGACACGATTCACTATCCCTGCCCGGACCACAAGCTGGGTCCCAGACCGCGTAGCTAGAGGCTTCTTTAACCCGACCGTGGATCTTCATCACCAGCAACACGAAGAACCCCGAGCCCCTCACGGGGCCCCCGTTATATTGTCCTGGGCTCGGCCTAGCTCCATCCCTCGCCCCGCCCACCTCTCGAGTTCTTTCCTGAAGGCTCCCCGAGAGCTCTTTTAGACCACGTAACCGCCCAGCGTCCCCCGTCCACCGGTGGCCCCCCTCCAATATCATCCGGTCACGTATCGGCAGGTCAACCAGCGTATCATGCCCCAACGTAACCCTGGCTGGCTGACGCTCCCTCTCGCTCCCTCACCGGGAGCCCACACCGCACACTGTACCTGGTGCCTCCGCGCTGACCAGCGCTCACCCAAGCCCTGCTAGGGCTGCTACTACACCCAGTAAGCGGGCTACACATAATGCCAACACATTATCCGCCGTGGCTTCATAAGCCCGGCACCCCACAATGACAATCACAGTCACTACACAAGCACAGTGAGGACGACGCGCAGAAGAAACAAAAGTTTGAAACTTTGATTAGAGCATCATGTAGAGCTCGCAGTGGAGAGCGAGAGCTCTGGGCTGCTGGTTCTGGGAGTGCACTCGTCTCGTCGTAGATGTCGTCATCACCGCCTTAGTCGCTGCCGCCTTTGCCCGATCATTGCGCGGCCGGACAGTAGTTTACTTTCTCGGTCGACGCCATCGGTGCAACGTGGACAGGGTCGTGTCTAGGCTGGGTCATACAGAAGTGTGGTCGTGAGAGAAAGAGGGGGCCGGAGTTGGGGGAGTGAATGTAATGAAGGAAGGACGGTGCCTTCTGCGACTACCTCGTCTCCAGCTGAGTGTGTGCGCCGCACGCCACCCGCACACACACAAGCCTCAATAAGGGAGAAGAGATCTACGACACTACACATACATACAAAGGGGCTCAGCTTACACGCAGGTGCCTACTTCTTCTCATGAGAGGAGAGCGACGCCGACGACACTCCCTCTCACCTGGGGAAGGTGGTGAGGGAGCATATTGTCTCGTTCGAGCGTAGCCGAGCCAGCACGTCTCTCCGCCGCAGCCTCATGCTCGGCTCCACGCTGGCCAGCTCGGCCATGGAGCTTCCGTACGGCTGCATTGGGATACCCTCCAGCATGTAGCTGCCATACTCCAGGTGCCACCGCGATGGGTACCTGCCACATGGGAGAGATATTACCATTATTATTATTGCGTTGCTTCATCCTGCTTGTTCGTGCACGCAAGGAAGTCTCACTGAGCCAAAATCACTCTCATTAAGTGGAGTCCTGCTATATTTTCATAGCAGCGTGGAGATGATTGATATGTATATTCTAATTCAGGCAATTTTGCGGGTATTTTTTTCTTCATAATAGGCAAACTATTTTTTATTTTACCAGGTAAAGCCCATTGAGCTTTGTAGCTCTTTTCAGAAGCGACCTGGCCACAAATGATAGCTCAACGAAATAGGTTATCGTGTGGACATGTATACTAGCCAAATACAGTACACTATAACCATGATGGTAAATGTGGAGGGAAAAAACGGAGCAGCTGAAGAAATATTCACGCCACCACGGGGAGACCATCACAAATTCAAAATATACAACGGGCGTCAAGGTCAGGATCTAACCCATGACCTCCTGCACACCAGGCGAGGTAATTAACATCTCGCCACCATGGCGTACCCTTGGATGCTGGTTGTACAACGGGCCTACTCCGGCAAATGAAGTCACGAGACTTTTAGCGTCCACTTTGAAGGAGACGGCAGGCGCGAACCATGTGACTCACTCATGAACTAGCCGTTCCCATGATGGTTAGTTGCATTCGTTCGACCGCGTTTGATTCCACCATAGCGCACTTCTCCTCTCATCCGTCTTTTTGGTGCAATGTGCCTTTTCGTTTGGTTAATATTTTCACGTTTTAGTGATCCGATGTCGTCCGTTCCTCTGTACCACGGATCACTCTGTCGTTGTTGTGCTCGCTCCTTGCTGATGCACCACGGACCTTTGTCGAAAAACTGCTGGGTAACTGGCTTAACAGCATACTCCGTGTAAGAAATAACCGTTGAACTGAAAGATGTCCTGCGATGCCACATTTTACCTTCTTATGCATTTCGTCAACAAACGAAAAGTATCCATAACATAGGTGTTTTGGGTTAGATCGCGTTAATATAAATGTGTCGTAAAACCTGCCACCACCCGACAAACCCAACTATGAAGGGTTGTCGCATAAACAAAACTTGCCAATTACTCAGTAGTTCAGCACAATTGTGTGTTGGAGAGTAAACCCACAACATTTACAATTCGAGTACGACGTTTTGCAGGTAACTACACCCAGCATCATCAGGCGAGAGCCATAATTGTCTTAAAGGTGGGGGTAATTGTATTTGAATCCATAGTTTGAAAAAAAATATATAGCAGTGTAATTTCGATTCCATTTTATGGAACTCAATTGTTAGCTTGTCCTAGGATGGAAGCTGTAATATTAAAAATGTAAATTAACTTTTTATTGTGGCATTGTAAATTTTATTAGGAAATGTAGCACATAAAGAAAACATTCTTAACTTATTAAATTAAATTAAGGACTTTGGAAGATTTCTCGGTATACAATATTTTGTGTGAATCTCTTATCACTTTTCAAAAGTTGTCCTTGCAGTTGGCTCAGTTGGCTTTCCTTGATGAACATTTTGATCCGCTGAGGATATGTAGATCTAGACAGAGCCACGTACAGCTGGCCATGGAAAAATACGGGTTAATTGAGATAAATACCCAAATTTTCTAAAGTCTGATCCTGCAACTTGATGATCGTCATCGCATATGCAGGAATTATTTAAATTTGTCGTCGTTTCAGTACGAAAGGAACAGTAACATCACTTTGAGTTAGGTCGATTCTCGGGATGAAGACGATTTCGCCTCGGTTGCATTCCAATACAATATCTGCGGTGATTAAGTTATTTTGTAATGATTTGACCATCAAACGCGTTCCATTGCAAAGGCCATTCTTCGGGTTAAGATTTGGCAGCAGCATGATGATAACGCCTGTCTTCAGTGCCAATGTGTGTGAAGACATTCCTGAAGGTGTTTAAGCGTGAAGAAATTCTGGAAGGTAAATAAATGCGTCCGCAGAATCTTCCGACACGATCAAGTCAGAGCTGTAATGATTTTGGATATCTCCGGACAGCTGTGTGATGATGTTTCTGTTCATATCGAGAGTATCCTTGTTGGTAGGTGCCAGAATCGCTTTTTTCACAAGTTCTTCGGCAGGCATGTGTTGCAAGCTTTGACCGTACATTGCGGTGACCAGATCATCAACCGTGATCATTTGAGGTGGAATTTCAATGGAACCTAACCACAATCGAGATAACTCCTGCAAACTTCCCAATCCAACTTTCAGCAGCCAATTGTTATGCTCATTTTTACCATCACTCCGAAGATTTGTCGTGAAAGTCAACTTGCAAAAATGCTGCCATAATACGCTGGATTTGATACAGCACTCGACGACATCAACATTCGTGCCTTTTGGTACAACTGGCAAAGTCTGTCTGAAGTCGCCATCGATAACGATGACTTTTGCACCAAATGGGCATTGAATCTGCGCGATGTCACGCAGCAGCTGATCGATGCATCGAAGGCCATGCTTTGTCAGCATCGTAATTTTCATCAATTATTATGAATGAAGCTCATCGTTTCGCCTTCTGGCGAATTAAATCTCATCGACAAAGAAGAGGTGTCAAGGAGGGGAACTGGAAGCTTGAATCCGCTGTGCACAGTTCGTCTGTCTTGCAGTAAAGTAGCTGCGATTCCAGTGGTGGTAAAAGGAAGAGCGATGTGACCTTTTTCACAAACAAATGAGAGCAGTGTGGAGTACAGGAAAGTCTTACCAGATCCGGCAGGATAATCTAAGTAAGAAAGTCTGTTCTGAGCATGCTCATCATCGACAGCTCTCATTATTGCTGTTAAAGCTTCAAACTGTTGGCCATTAAGGGAGGAAATTCCCGTTTCCACTTCTCGTTCTTCATGCACTGCATCGTATAGCTGAGCTTTGATTGGATGGCATATCGGTTCGGGAATACCAATTGATGCACAAGACAATCCATGTTGCTTGAGAATAGCGTTGATGTCGTGCAGAGGCATGTTGCAACATTTTCGTCATGACACCGTAGATAATCCAGCAACATGTCAAGTTAATGGTTGTTCCACAACTCGTGAGCAAACGTCTGTCGCATATAATTGGACATTTCGTGGACTCCTGCACGCATCGAGCCCATTCTTCGTCTGAATCCAGCAAATGACGATGAAAGGCAGCTTCCTTGAATGCGTTGTAAACGACACCATCGACGGTTCAGAGCAATTCAAAACTGGTAGCGCCATTGACGTGATGCAACAGCATCCTCAGATAGAAGCGCTCCTCATCTATTATTCGAACACTGTATAATCTCGCAACGATCTTAGTGCCTCCTCTTTGTCGCTGCTTCCAGTTGTTGTTGACATACACAATTGTAGGGAATGTCGTTGTAGATAGATTATTGTGCGTGTGGATCTATGAAGCATAGCTGAAACCCAGTGGCGGCTCCTGCAAAACTCTCTGGGGGGGCAAATGTCTGGATGATTGATAAGGATAAGGTCCACCCATGCAATGGATAAATTAACAGCTTAAGCATGCAAAGGCAACTTCACTTCTTTAATATTAATGAAAAATAAAGTGACTCTTACAATACATCTTGTTTGTTTCTATACTCACTATTAAAACAAACCACTCAAGTTTATTTTATTAAAGATTCCACTAGATTTTGATTTAAAACTTTCGTGACTGCAGGGATTCATCTTCTTGGTTCTTTCGGTAAAGTCACGTAGAAGGGAAGTAATAAAATAATAAAAATAAAACATAATAAGATTATTCTCACGACGTTTCGGCCACAACGCAAGCAGCCGTCCTCAGGTGAAAACCAGGTCCGTCGAGGCGACAGAGTCTGAATGAAACAGCACACGAGCTTGGAGCATATATATAAGCTGGGCGCCTTGACAAAGGAATTTGCATATCAAGAGGAATTTAGCATATTTATGGGAAATGCAGGAATGTGATTAGTACTGCATATGCATGTGCATTATGCAGGATTAATATCATCAAAGGGAGCTGCAGTTGCTGCTGCTGCAGTTGCTGCTGCTGCAGTTTCTGCTGCTGCTGCAGTTTCTGCTGCTGCTGCAGTTTCTGCTGCTGCTGCAGTTTCTGCTGCTGCTGCAGTTTCTGCTGCTGCTGCAGTTGCTGCTGCTGCTGCAGTTGCTGCCTTATCCATTTTAATATAACACTATGTATTATTCTACCCACCCTAATGTGTATCACACTGCTATATATTTACTATACAATTACGACACCATACATTACTCTGCACACTGCACCATGTCAGTGAGTGGAACGTTGTGGCCGAAACGTCGTGAGAATAACTTGCGTTGTGGCCGAAACGTCGTGAGAATAATTTTATTATGTTTTATTTTTATTATTTTATTACTTCCCTTCTACGTGACTTTACCGAAAGAACCAAGAAGAAGATTCCACTAGGTGGCGATAAATTATATTGTTGGATGAAACGTGCTTACGTATGATGACGTAAGCACGTATGATGACGTAAGCACGTATGATGACGTTAGCACTTATGATGACGTAAGCACGTTAGGGCTTGCCCTCCCGGAAGCCATAGAGAATGCATTGGAGCGCCCCCGTTCGAAAAAAAACATCTTTCAATGTAAGTCTATGGGGCCACTCGGGGCGATTCTCAGCCGGAGTGAAATCGCCCAAAAAGAGGCGGTACTCCACAGAACGTGACATGACGCTGATTGGACTATATCCAGAGGCTGCAGTGACGGCTAGCGTGACTCTGTGGTTGAATGACATTGGTGGTGCGTCGCCCAATCGCCCTAATGAAGAAACCGCCCCTGCTGAAACCTAGCTTCGAGCTTCGTGTGACCTGTTCGTGCGGCTTCCAACGCCTCATCTTCTCAACCCTCTTGGAACACAAGTCATTGCTGAGGTGGCAAATGCATGGGCAATCTCATCACGGCATGCGAGCTATCATGCATTGGCGACTCGAGCAAACGCCACATAGCTCTGGTGCACTGACGTATCTTGCGTTGATGAAATTTCACAGCTCGTCGTGTGTAAGAGCAATCTCGCTGGTAGTGATCGTCATATTGGCGCAATAGAATCCTTTGTAAATATATTTATAAATATATTTAACAGCTCGTAGTGACGTGCAGACCTCAACATTGATGTGAGCATTGTACATCAGCAACAGATATGGATTGTACGGCACCACATATCTGTTATCCATTGACGATCCACGAACTTCAGCTGAAATTCCTTGTCGCCGATAATACAAAGGATATCCGTTAACATTGTGCACTGTCATGGTAGCAAATTCCTTCGGGAACGCCTTTTAGTACCTTCCATTTTGCATGCAGGCTGCGCGAGAATTCGCAGCTGCGCATGGGCCATGCATCTTGTGACAATTTCGTGTAACCGCGGATTTTTAGCCGCAACGGGAATTTCAGCAGGCACAACCTGATGAATGTGCTCAGAGCTTGTGAATCTATCATCAACTTGCAATGTTCCCAGGATGTGTGCGTGAGGCAGACCACGATTCTGGAACTCGATGGTGTAGACAAAAGCCGTTGAGATTCCCAGAACGCCATGGACAGTGAGATCCTGCATCAACGATTTCAGTTTCAACTTCAAAACACGTGCTACTAAGTCAAGTCGATCAGATGCTTGTTCACCTTGCTGCAAATTGTTGGTGATTTCTCGCCACCTTGGATTTCCAGTGAATTTTATGAAGAGATCGGGAGCGTATTGCTTTGTGAAAATTGTAATTGCGTCCATGCTTTGCTCTTTCATGTTCCGCGGTGAACCTTCGAAAGGCGAAGGCAGAATAACAGGAATTCCGGCTCGTCTTGCAGCCATTTGATAGGCATTCTCTATGTGATCGGCAAGTTTTTGATAAAGCTCAACTCGTAATTTCTGCTAATGTTGACGAATGTAATTCAAATTATTAGGTTCAACCTGCAGGTACGAATCGACAATACACGGTTTTGTAAGCTTTCCAGCACTGATTTGTGGGTTGAATGTACCTCTGATCACCGTTTGCGCTGCAACATACTGTAATTTGGAGATATTCACTCGCGTTGCGTTGACTTGAGCTCCAACATCAAAGTGTCTTGGCTCTGGCGAGCTCTCCATCTCTGCTGTCTTTCTCTTTGCAAACGGCGTTTCTTAGCTGCAGTATCTTCGTCCTCCATGATGTTTATCAATCCTGGGCTCACGTATTTAGATCTTATGACACTTAACGTGCTCCAGCAGCTGTGAAACTGCGAATAAGGTTGCCTCGCGCTTTTTAGATACTGTAGAGGGATAATGTGATCTACAGAGGGGCCAAATTTAGCTGGCAGAGTCAAAAGAAGCATTACAATTGGTAATTTTTTGACCAGGAATTCTTCGGTATCTTACACAATAGTCAAAGGTGAGCAATCTATGTGGCTGTCTAATTTGAAAAAAAACTGTAACTTCACTTTAGCACTTTTTTAAAATCACCTGAAGCTGTTAACTAGCAAATGAATCTTCTCCAAAGGGCGCTTAATAGGGAAGAGTGAAGAAAGTAGAGTGGTGATACTGTCTGAAGTAACTTAGCAAATAACGAAGACCAAAGAGAAGCATTAGAGTTATGAATAAATTGATCAGAGTATAATTGTATCTTTTCTAAATGTAATGGCAAAGAATATTGAAAAATCTTGACTTAAAGCATTCATGACTGCAGTAATTCATATTATTTGGGTCTTTCGGTAGAGTCACATGGATAGGTTCAAATAAAATCACAAACAATAACAAAAACTACGTTTCTTTGAACCTATCTATGGGACTTTACCGTAAGACCCAAAAAATATGAATATTTTAAAAAGAATGTCATTAAACACTTCACTGCATTTCGCTGTAGCACTGTAATAATGGCAGTGAATGTTGCACAAAACGAAGTCATAAAACACCTGACAGCATTTGACAGCAGCACTGCATTAATCGCAGTGTTTGTTGCACGCAACTATTTCATAAAACACCTGACGTAACATCATAGTAGCACTGTAATTAACGGACCTATCAATTATTTGATATTTACTGCTCTGACACTTACCTTCCGCTTTCGCTCGCTGGGTTGAAAACAATTCGAATTCAATATAATGTCTGCAAAGTAGCAGAGAAATGTTTATTATAGCATAATTAGGAAGCTAAAGACACCAAATGCACAGTGATGCGGCATATAATGATTTATTTCCTTCACTTTGTATGAAGATACGTAAAATCGAAAGCGAATTTGCATTTAAAAAATGTCATAGCCGCTCGACCTTCTTCTGCGGTCGTCTGAAAATCCAGGCACACGTGAATAATAATGAGGGGAGGGGCGCATGTGGAGTAATGTCACGCGCGGGACACAGACACAAACTTTTTTGGTTCGTTATATTAGTTGATGCGTTGATTTATTTATTAGGTTTATTTACCATGAAGAAAGGTTAAAATTAAAGCCAATTTGCGTAAACAAATTTTCTTTTCTGCTGCACCTTATTAATGCGGAGTGAAGTTACCCGTTCATGATTATTAATGAGGGGGGGGGGGGCGGTCCATGTGGAGGACACCACCTGTTCATGATTATGTGACGTTACGCACGTTACACACAGACATTATTGGCTCATTATATTAGTAAATGCACGGCTGGGTCTGGATATTTTGTACCAAAAATCTAATCGATTCCGAAACTTTACGAAAATAGAATCGGAAAATCTGTGTTGGGTTTAAAAACGGTTTGGGGCCGTTGGGGCACGGCCGCTCTCCTGTGAGCACGTGGCAGGAGGAGGAGGGGGAGGAGGAGGGGGAGGAGGAGGGGGGGGGAGGAGGAGGGGGAGGAGGAGGGGGGGGGAGGAGGAGGGGGGGGAGGAGGAGGGGGGGGAGGAGGAGGGGGGGGGAGGAGGAGGGGGGGGAGGAGGAGGGGGAGGAGGGGGGGGAGGAGGAGGGGGAGGAGGGGGAGGAGGGGAGGAGGGGGGGGAGGAGGGGGGGAGGAGGGGGGAGGAGGGGGGGGAGGAGGGGGGGAGGAGGAGGGGGAGGAGGGGGAGGAGGGGGAGGAGGGGGAGGAGGGGGGGGAGGAGGAGGGGGAGGAGGGGGGGGAGGAGGAGGGGGGGGAGGAGGGGGGGGAGGAGGAGGGGGGGGGAGGAGGGGGGGGAGGAGGAGGGGGGGGGAGGAGGAGGGGGGGGGAGGAGGGGGGGGAGGAGGAGGGGGGGGGAGGAGGAGGGGGGGGGAGGAGGGGGGGGGAGGAGGAGGGGGGGGAGGAGGAGGGGGGGGGAGGAGGAGGGGGGGGGGGAGGAGGGGGGGGGAGGAGGAGGGGGGGGGAGGAGGAGGGGGAGGAGGAGGTCTCACCCCGGGTTGGCCTCCTCGTCCATGGCTCTCAAGTCGTTGATCAGCTCCTCTGCGTTGAACAAGACACGGGCCCTGCGCGCCGTGTGATCGAAGGAGACGAGCATGTACTCGACCTGCGTGCTCACACGGGGGCAGACGCAGAGGAGGGAGAGATGGAGAGAGGAGGGGGAGACGGAGAGAAGAGAGGGACACGGAGAAGTGGAAGTATGTAATAGTGGCACTGCCATATCATCACGGCCAAGCCGATGCCCCTTTCAGAGTGAAAATATCAACAAACGCATTCGTCAGTAACACTGTGGCGCTAGAAGTTAAACGACACGTTTTTTGTTGCGTGATTGTGTTTTGTTGATTATTATTTCATGTTGAATTGGCCTTCCCCCCCGCACCTTTCCTGAGGTGTGACGGAAGTTCAACATTCAGACGACCAGCAACATCATCATCACCTTCACCAAAGGCAAATCCCCCCGAAAAGTCTTAACAGGCTGTAGGGGCAAGTGCTGTTAGCGAGCACCTACGAAGGCCGGCACGACACATGAGGGGGTGGTTGGCCAGCATCACGCCGGCCGCCTTTGTCTCCCCCGTGCTAATGTTTACACATCGCACTAGGTACTCATTTGAGACCGAGTCGACCTAGTGGAATCCCAGGTACCGGTTCAGACAATCGTCACTGGTGTCCGTGAGCGGGCATCTAACTACCGCCAAAGATGCCCCGTACAGGCTCCACCGAGTGCAGGAGCAAGTTGTGAGTGAGCAACCACCATCGACCGGCTGTCACTCACACAGTCACACTGCAATGGGCTCGAGGCACAGGTGTGTAATTGTAATTGCTGCTTCTGACTGGGCATAGAGGCAAAAGGGAACGCACCTCATCACGTTAGATACACACATCGTCACTTCACACTGACCTCATCCTATCACCTTGTCTTATCACCTCGTCTCATTTACCTCACCCCCTAAATAATATCATCACCGCGTCCTCTCACATTTTTTCTTAGTCACATCATCACCGCGCTTACTCGCTTTCTCGTCACCTTGTCTCTCTCACCTCATCCCCTCACTTATCACCTCGTCTCTCTCACCTTGTCCCCTCACTCATCACCTCGTCCCCTCACTCATCACCTCGTCGCCTCATTCATCACCTCGTCCCCTCACTCATCACCTCGTTCCCTCACTTTTCACCTCGTCGTTCTCGCATTGTCTCTCTCACCTCGTTCCATCACTCATGACCTCTATTGCATATATAGGCCCTTTTCCAAAATTGATATTAAGAATAAGTCTGACAATATATAGTTTTTATAATAATCGATCGGGGTGTCGCTTGGGGCAAAAAGGGGGCGACACAAACACCCTCCCCTAAAACAGCAGCTGCCTCCCACAAGCCACACCAGGCTAGGAAGTAGACATAAAAGGTAATAAAAAAACCCTGGTGCAAAAAGGGGAGAGGGGTGGGGGGTTGCTAATGAGATTCTGGGGAAATCTCTACACGGCTTCAAAGGCTGCCACATAGCACGTACAAGCAACATGCGCCACAATTCTTCCCGGGCGGCAAGTTTATTTTACAGTTTTTTTTAGTTAACGGTAAAGTTCGAAACTTAGCGACAAGAATAAGTCGACATCAAAGACTGCCAACACACTCACTCAGATTAAGTACCAGACTGTAGTCTACATTAGTGACTTTTATTATTACTTACCTTATTTTACTCTTATTCACCATATATATTGTTTGTTATTGTATATTTCTATCTACGTGAATTTACTTACCCAGATCTCCAAACTTCAGGATATCAAAATACAACTCGAGAATAAAAAGCACGGATCCCTGGATACAGACGGGGAACAAAGGTTAATAAAACCCTAGGAATATCTGTGGTAACAACTATGGTAGATCACAAATCTTGGTTAAACATAAACCAAATAATAATTATGAAATATTATACCGAGGGTCATCCAGAAGAAATAAAATGCGAAATATGTAAATCACACACGACCAAGATAATATGTATTCCATAGAATCAGAACCTCCAAACCGCCTTTGTCTTCCAGAAGCACGTGGTAGCAATAAATCACACATGCAGGGAGGGCGCCACCCCTTAAGATATCAAACACCATGAAGAAATTCCAAACCACGCCTACTGTAAACACTGCTCAAAACATGCCCTTGAGCCACTTAAAGAGTCAAAACCGCAAAAAAGGGATACATATAGTGATGGAAAAAAGTATTTGATCCCCTGCTGATTTTGTACGTTTGCCCACTGACAAAGAAATTATCAGTCTGTAATTTTAATGGTAGGTTTATTTGAACAATGAGAGACAGAATAACAACAACAAAAATCCAGAAAAACGCATGTCAAAAATGTTATAAATGTATTTGCATTTTAATGAGGAAAATAAGTATTTGACCCCCTCTCAATCAGAAAGAGTTCTGGCTCCCAGGTGTTATTTATACAGGTAACGAGCTGAGATTAGGAGCACACTCTTAAAGAGAGTGCTCCTAATCTCAGCGTGTTACCTGTATAAAAGACACCTGTTCACAGAAGGAATCAATCAATCAGATTCCAAACTCTCCGCCATGGCCAAGACCAAAGAGCACTCCAAGGATGTCAGGGACAAGATTGTAGATCTACACAAGGCTGGAATGGGCTACAAGACCATCGCCAAGCAGCTTGGTGAGAAGGTGACAACAGTTGGTGCGATTATTCGCAAATGGAAGAAACACAAAAGAACTGTCAATCTCCCTCGGCCTGGGGCTCTATGCAAGATCTCACCTCGTGGAGTTGCAATGATCATGAGAACAGTGAGGAATCAGGCCAGAACTACGCGGGAGGATCTTGTCAATGATCTCAAGGCAGCTGGGACCATAGTCACCAAGAAAACAGTTGGTAACACACTACGCCGTGAAGGACTAAAATCCTGCAGTGCCCGCAAGGTCCCCCTGCTCAACAAAGCACATATACATGCCCGTCTGAAGTTTGCCAATGAACATCTGAATGATTCAGAGGACAACTGGGTGAAAGTGTTGTAGTCAGATGAGACCAAAATGGAGCTCTCTGGCATCAACTCAACTCGCCGTGTTTGGAGGAGGAGGAATGCTGCCTATGACCCCAAGAACACCATCCCCACCGCCAAACATGGAGGTGGAAACATTATGCTTTGGGGGTGTTTTTCTGCTCAGGGGACAGGACAACTTCACCACATCAAAGGGACGATGGACGGGGCCATGTATCGTCAAATCTTGGGTGAGAACCTCCTTCCCTCAGCCAGGGCATTGAAAATGGGTCGTGGGTGGGTATTCCAGCATGACAATGACCCAAAACACACGGCCAAGGCAACAAAGGAGTGGCTCAAGAAGCAGCACATTAAGGTCCTGTAGTGGCCTAGCCAGTCTCCAGACCTTAATCCCATAGAAAATCTGTGGAGGGAGCTGAAGGTTCGAGTTGCCAAACTTCAGCCTCGAAACCTTAATGACTTGGAGAAGATCTGCAAAGAGGAGTGGGACAAAATCCCTCCTGAGATGTGTGCAAACATGGTGGCCAACTACAATAAACGTCTGACCTCTGTGATTGCCATCAAGGGTTTTGCCACGAAGTACTAAGTCATGTTTTGCAGAGGGGTCAAATACTTATTTCCCTCGTAAACATGCAAATCAATTTATAACATTTTTGACATGCGTTTTTCTGGATTTTGTTGTTGTTATTCTGTCTCTCACTGTTCAAGTAAACCTACCATTAAAATTATAGACTGATCATTTTTTTATCAGTGGGCAAACGTACAAAATCAGCAGGGGATCAAATACGTTTTTCCCTCACTGTATTTTAGTACTGAATAGCTATACAAGAGAATACGGAAATTGAGTCTTGCTGCGGCAAGCTCCGGGGGTGGGCCCTGTAATCGACCAAGGATGGCAAGGCTTGAAGAGTAGCGATGTGTCACCGAGTACGAGTTCGGCGCTGACAGACGAAGTATCGCTAAAAGTTTTATTCTACATTGAGTGCCAGCTGCCACTAGCAGCTGCAGCAAGAGAGAAAGAGAGAGTGATGAGCAACGACAAGCAATCAACCTGGAGAAAGGGTGGAAAAGCACCAAGCATCAACCAAGCGAGCATCGCACAGGACCAGCACCAGCGGCTAACGACTACCTACGAGCGTGTGGACTCGGAAGCCGAGCATACTCCTGCAAAGGTCAAGTCTACAAGGACCAACCGTGCACGGAGCAGGAGAGAGAGAGCGCGTAACCAGCGCAACCGAGCAGGAGTGTCGGCACCGGTGACCAGCGGACGAGCTGTGAGCGCAATTGTGCATCGCCAGAGAGCACGGAGAGGGAAAGAGAGCACGCAACCAGCACAGCCGAGCAAGAGTGCAGGCCCCGGCGACCTGCGGACGAGCTGCGAGCGCAATCAGGCACCATCAAAGACAAGCGTCGTGCTGACTCATCCAGCAGCAGACAGGCCTGCTGCTGCCGCCAGGAGAGAGAGCGAAATCGCCATGTGTATGACATTCCCACACACACACGCACATAACAGGACTAATAAGATTACTCCAAAGATCTCTTTGTGTTTGAAAAAGCGTGGCCATCCTAAGGTGGTGCGTTAACTGATCATGAAAAGCATTGCTGCCCATCGAGTTACGTAGATACGGTCGTTTAGAAGTATTTTTGTCATTCTTGTTGTTAATAGCATAACTGTACCAATGAATTCATTGACGAAACTAACTATTTAGAAACATCTATGTTACGAATCTACACACTCGCAGGGAGTCTATTGTGTTAAAAAATCTTTCTTTTGATCACAGGAATCTTGCCCACGAATTTATTTAAGCCTTAGCCAATTGATAAGCATTTACTAGACAAGCAGGCACACTGCCGTACACCATGGTTCCAATACATTTCGTTAATTGCATAATAATGCTAATTTTAAAGGACTTTTTCTCATCGCCGTGAATGCTTGCTTTACTCTGAGGAATTAACTGATTGTTCTGTTACCCAGTTTAACAAACGTAATAATTGAGGGTTAAATTTACGTATCAATGAGGAGGACATCTCCAGGAGTACTGTGTTGACATTCCTAGTATAAGAGTTCACATATTAGAGTGTTATATTTTTGTTTCGAGAATAAAGTTGCTCAACACAGAAGAGTCTGAGTGGTGCCTTCCTAAGTTAATGCGTATTAATAATCTTAATTATAATACCTGTATCCTGCAGTGAGATCTGAATTATGAGACTTGACATAAACACTAAAACATAACCAGTAAAAGTTAAAGCGAGAATCATTGTATTATCCTTATTGATAAGACAACCCTAGACAACGTAGCCGAGCCTAATGAGCACAAGTACATACACTTGCATAACTTCATACAATGACACTTTCTTCACTGTATTATCACGATTGATAATACAACCCTAGGCAACGAAGCCAAGCGTAATCAGCATACTTACATCACACTTGCATAACTTCATACAATGACACCTTCTTAACTGTATTATCCCGATTGATAATACAACCCTAAACAACGAAGCCAAGCTTAATCAGCATACTTACATCACACTTGCATAACTTTAAACAATTACACAATTCTATATTAGCATACATTTATTTGCAAAATTACACAAATTAGCATAATTTTGGATAATTACACCTTTTTTATTTTCATTTAATTTTTATTGTTTTTATTGATTTTTCAAGACCGAATATATACAACACCTGGTCGCCTCACTCATCACCTCGTTCCCTCACTCATTACCTTGTCGCCTCATCACCTCGTCGCCTCACTCATCACCTCGTCGCCTCACTCATCACCTGGTTTCTCAACTCGTCCACTCACTCATCACCTCGTTGCCTCACTCATCACCTCGTTCCCTCACTCTTCACCTCGTCGTTCTCGCGTTGTCTCTCTCACCTTGTCGCCTCACTCATCACTCGTCCCCTCACTCATCACCTCGTCGCCTCACTTATCACCTCGTCGATCTCACCTCATCACCCCAGAGGAGCGGGTGGTCCCCGTAGCCCCGCTGCGTGAGGCCCCGCACGAGCTGCTGGAGGCCGCGTGCGCGCACGAACCCCGCGCGCAGCTTCGTGTCGCTCCAGCGCAGCGTCGTTCCTCTCAGTTGCGGCGCCATCCTCGGTGACGAGGTGAAGCGACGAGGTTGGGGTGTGGACGAGGTTGAGGGAGTGAGGGGGGGCGGCTGACGAGGGGAGGAGATGAGGGAGATGACGGGGGCGAGGGAGAGACGAGGTGGACGGAGTGAGGGGAGTGACGAGGCGGCGAGATGAGAAAGATGACGGGGCTACAGAGAGACGATGAGGTGAATGACGAGGTGAGTGACGAGTTGATGAGGTGGAGGGGGGATGAGGAGAGTGACGAAATGAGGGAGATGACGGGAGCTAGATAGAGACGATGAGGTGAGCGACGAGGTTTGTTGGAGGAAGTGAGGGGGGCGATGGCGAGATGAGGTGCGTGATGAGCGGGTGTGATGGCAGGTGATGGGAGGCGATGAGGTTCAGAGAGATGTTGATGAGGTTAAAGACGACTTGCGGAATTGAGACGACGTGAGGGAGTGTGATGAGGTGAGGGTAAGGACGTGTGATGAGGTGACTAGGTGAGGGTTGAGAGTGTTTGAGGTCACGAGGTGAGTGTGGAACAGCCACACACTGAGGTTAATCACAGCGTCATTAGAAGCTACTTCTCAGACACTCGTATTGGAAGATAAAAAAGCGTGATTGAGCTCGAAAACAGAACCTTTGAAGAAGCTGGTTGCCAAGTGAGCAAAACTAAACGTATGAACCACAAGTTCACCACAGTGATCACGCGTCACCCTCTATTGTGCGTGTTAGCATACACGTCTGTGTGTGCGTTGGTGTGATATGTGGTCGTGTTGATGTGTTCGTGTGCACGTGTGTGTGTTAATGTGTTTACGTGCATACGTTTGTGTGTATGTGTGTATTTTCGCGCGTATGCGTTCACGTGCATATGGAACACGTATATGGAGGTCTTGATATGCAGGGCGTTCACGTTTGTTGTTTACACGTGAACACGCATGTCCATGGTCATGTGTACGTGTTGATGCCCAAGTGTTGATGTGCAGTGCGTTCGCGTGCGTTGTTTACACGTTGCGCGAGCGCCAGAGAGGTCCCTTGCGCTCTCACTAGAGGGGTCACCCTGTGGTGCCACGCACCCTCGGTGATCGTGTCTTACCCCGCGTGCTGTGTGGTGCCACAGCGACGGGGCCGCTCTGCCGAGCCAGGGAGCCGCCCGGCTTCCCCCACCGCACTGCCCCCCATCACCCGCCCCACATAAGCACACACCCGCACGCATCCCCCCCCCCCCCATAGAGCTGGAAGGGAAGGTTACCTGATCGACCGGTTTTTATCCGAGAGACCCTTATCGGGATTAATTCTCACGGTTTCCGGCGATCAGGGAATTGGATGACCTCCCCCGTGCTACGTGGTACCGCGGCGCTGCTGCCGGCCTTAATATGGTGTGGTCGCGGCGTGGGGCATTCGGCCACCGCGGTTGAGGCGCATTTCCCCCCACACACACCCCCACGAGTCGACGGGGCAAGCAGGGGAGGCACGAGACAGCATGAATAGCGGGGTCACAGGGGCTGTTGCGCATAGTCATGGGGGGTTGGGATAATTGCGCTTGAGCGCGCAGGCCCCATTGTTAGGAAGGGTAAGGGAGTAATTAGGATGTACGCCGCCAACGTCGCTCACTGATTAGCATATCAACAGCGCCTGGGGACTGCCGTGCGCGGGCTTGGGGTGCACGAGCCCATTGTTCAGCGCAGCATCCCCTTTGGAGGTAGGGAGGATAAATAGAGGAGCGCAGAGGGGAAATCGCTCTCTTACTCCAGCGCCAGGCGACCAGACGCAGCTCGAGCCAGCGACCCGGACGTCCGTGCGACGCACCGAGGCACGCGGTTAACACCGGGATCAGCGGACCGCCGTGGACACTTAACAGTGAGTAAGAAGGTGAATTAGAATCATAGCCGATAAATAGGGAATAGGTGCCGGTTTAGTGGAATAGGCCAGCCTCGTCGACTCACTGATTGAACATTAGTTACCAGGTAATAAATCATTAATAGCGAAGCGTGGTCTCGCGTGATCTTGTCGTGCAGTGTGAGCGTGTGGGAACGCGTGTGGTACTGTGTGTGCGTAAGCTCGCGGCGTGCGTAATAGGCGTACCCCAGGTGCGCGATCATAACGTAAGCGGCCAGCAGACGGCGAGCGCTGCGCAGAGCGGCGCAAGAGGGGTATCGCGTGTGGAGCTGTATGCGTGTGTGCGCGCACGTTCACTACGTGTATGATACAGGTGCGCGATCGTAACGCGAGTGGTCAGTGTTGAGTGAGTGCCGTGCAGAGCTGTGTGTGTGGGTGTGCGCGTACGTAATTAACCATGCCTGCTACGCGGACCCGCGGTGGAGGGGAATCCTCGGGCGACGGCTCCCACACCATGGGTGAGGAACTCAGCAGCGGTTCGCTTAGCAGCAGGGGGGCGATTGATGATGCTAGCCCGGCCGTTAGCATTATCGAGGGAGGGATTTCGGGGGCTAGCGACCCCCACATATTGGTGTCAGAAACGGGACGATCCCCCGCGGCCCCAAGGGAAAGAGGCCCCCCAACCCAGGTTAAAATCAAATGCACATTTACGGGCAAAGGAATTCCATCATGGAAATCGTTTGCCCGCAGCATCAGGGGGGCTAAAAAGGTTAATGGGTGGTCGGATGAGGAGGCGTTGCAGCAGTTAGAGATACATTTAGATGGGCGAGCAGCTGACTTTGTGGAAGCTTTGCCCGCAAGCACACAAACTCAGTGGGAAAAATTAATGTGCGAACTCGAACGGCGCTTCGGCACCTATGACGAGGAGGAGGCGCAGGCGGCCTTAGAGGCACGCCGCCGTCAGCCCGGCGAGGATCTGCGAGATTACGCCGAGGACGTACGCATGTTGACCCAGCTCGCGTACCCGGAGCACGAGGCGAAAGTAATTGAGAGCCTCGCTGCCGGGAAGGTCCAGCGATATTTGGCACGCACCCCGTGGTGGCAGCCAAATATAGACGGTGCACGCCTCTCCTTTAACACACTTGTCGAGCGCGCGCGCAAATGCGAGAAGCTCTCGGGTGAGCGCGCGCAGCCTCGAGGGAGGGGACGAGAGTGCGCCGTAGCGAGCCTACTCTCGGACGAGGAGGAGGAGCTCGCCATCGCAGGAAGGGGACGGGCAAGGGAGCCCCAGAGACCCAGCGAGAAAACCCCGGGGTGGGTAGCTGGGTTACAGGCCGGTATGGGAGATATGATAAACCAAGTAGGTGAGAGGGTAACCCAGGTACGCGAGGAAGCAAATAAAAATATGAAGACCCTCCAGTCTGAGATGGGTGAACTACGTTCCACGGTAGGGGGGCTAGCCGGGAGGGTGTCCCAATTAGAGTCCGATTTGGGACAACTGCGTACTGGGGGAGGGAGAGGGAGTGGGCAGGGGGCCCACTACGGAGCCGACCCCCTCCTCGGGCATGTTATATGTGCGATCGCCGAGGGCATTTAGTGAGAGACTGTCCTGAAATCACCCGAGCTAGGCAGATGCGGGGGTTAAACTCCAACGCCCCCTAGAAAGCGGACCAACTAGGGGTGCAATCGACGCGGTCCCGATACAAATAGACGATAATGAGAATAATGGCGAGCGAGTGATCTCCACACAGGTTCCAGCAACAACGCCCACGGAAACGGTGACTCCCGGCGACTGGCTACGGGAGCTGGTGGCAGGGATCACGGGGGCCACGTCGCTGGTGGAAGGGGAGGTTAACGGAGTGCGTACCCGAATCCTGCTGGACACGGGGGCGGTGGCCTCGCTCGTGAGCGCAGCGCACTGCAGCGCGATCGGGGTCGACGTGCGTCACCTGCAGGCCCCGGACCGCGCGCTGCACACTGCGAGCGGAGCCGGAATGGGGCTGCTGGGGAGAGCCACCCTAGAGGTCCACATAGGCAGCCAGGTGTGCACGCAGGAGTTCTACGTGTCGAGTGCGTTGTGTCACGAGTGTATCGCAGGCACCGACCTCCTAGAACGGTTGGGACTCAACGTGCAACCCCGCCAGCGATGCGCCACCATGGAGAGCAACGGCGAGCGGATACCGTTCCTGGGACGAGAACCAACTCGCCGCCGCTTTGCACCTGTGGCCGCTATCCTGGCGACGGCAGTCACCATCGGCCCGCTCACCGAGATGCTGGTGCCGGTGGCAACATCCCCCACCGACCCCGCGCTCCGACCATCAGGGGAGGTAATGCTAACTCCTCACCCGGAGTTGGCAAAACGGTATGGGGTTGTGGGATCCGCCACGTTGGTAAACGCAGATGGGGACCGATTGTTTATGCGGATGTTTAACCCCCACAATACCCCAGCGATACTGCGACGGCGCACCCCGATAGCCACAGTACACCCCCTGCACGCACGCCACTCTAACGACTCGGTGTTCGCACTCTGGGCTGAGGACCCCGGTCGTCCTGAGGGTGAGCAGGACCTGGCCTGGCGAGTCGGCCCGACTCCCCGAGCCGAGGTCGTTCCCCTGCTCGACGCGTTACATGTACCATGGGCGGACTTACCTAAGGGAGAGGCCGATCGGCTGCGCGAGTTACTGCGGGAGTATGCCGACGTGTTCAGCGAACACGACTCGGACGTGGGTCGGACCGACCTTGTTAAGCACCAAATTGACACCGGTGCAGCCCGACCCATCAAACTCCCTGCGTACCGAGTGGGCGCACCCGAACGCACCCAGATCAAGGAGGCGGTTGGGGACATGCTTCGCGATAACATAATTCAGCCCTCGGCGAGCCCCTGGTCAGCCCCAGTGGTACTAGTAACGAAAAAGGATGGGTCAACCCGGTTCTGCGTCGATTACCGTAAACTAAATGCAGTCACGCTCGGCGATGCCTTCCCCATACCCCGCATCGACGACACCTTCGACAGTCTCGCAGGAGCGCGGTATTTTTCCACCCTCGATCTGGCGTCCGGTTACTGGCAGGTGGAGATGACGGAGGAGGATCGGCCAAAAACAGCATTTACCACCCCGATGGGCCTGTTTGAGTTTCGAGTGTTGCCGTTCGGACTCACTAACGCGCCCGCGACGTTCCAGCGGTTGATGGAGTTGGTGATGCGGGGTTTGCAATGGGAACAGTGCCTGATTTACTTGGACGATGTGATAGTGTTCAGTAGATCTTTGTCTGAGCATTGGTCCAGGCTTCGAGAGGTGTTCCAGCGACTGCGAGCGGCTCATCTCAAGCTCAAGCCACGTAAGTGTTACATCGCACAACGCGAGGTGGGGTACCTCGGGCATCGCGTCAGCGAGGCAGGCGTGCGCACCGATCCGGAGAAGGTACGCGCCGTAGTGGAGTGGCCACGGCCAAGGAATCTGACGGAGATCAGATCATTTTTGGGGCTCGCCACCTATTATCGTCGATTTGTAAAGGGATTCAGCGAGATTGCACGCCCCCTCACCCAACTCACCTCCCCTAAGCACCCCTATCAGTGGACGGGGGCCTGCCAGACGGCCTTCACCACTCTCAAAGACCACCTCACCCACGCCCCCACCCTCGCTTTCCCCGATTTTACCACCGATTTTATTTTGGACACCGACGCCTGCAGCAGCGGGCTGGGC